AGCCAACATCGATTGCGTGCAAAAAGTACGATGACCTGGTCGACGCGGAAGACGATGAACAGGCCAAACGGTTTGACGTCCAGTATTCCGAAATGTTCAAAATCCTTGGCGAAGGAACCGGAATAGCCAATTTCTCTTACAAGAATATTAACAAGATCTATGATGTAACTCGTGAGGTGAGCTCACGGTTCCTTGTTCTTCAGTTTTCTGATCGGTACATGTCTGATATGGTTTTCTTTCAGTTAATTCACAATATGACTGCGAAACAACCGTCATGGGTGTTCAAATATTGGCCACAGTACAACAACAGAAGTACCATGGACATCATCACTGAACTGCGTACGATACGCATGATCACTAAATTCAACTCCACTGAAAAAGCCAATGTACTGACCGGTTGCCACTGCTTTTTTTATTGGATCGTGATATTTCCTTTTCTTGCTCTGAGAAGGCAACTTTATAATTAAAGGTAACCTAATGATAAGCGTCCATACAGAAGACATTATCAATATATAAGCCATAGGCACAGAAACACTTGTTCATGTGGGTATTCACGGAAGGGTTATGGGTGACCAGTGGCATAGTTTAGATAAAATGATGAAGAGAGCTTCTCAAAGCAATGAGAACAATCTTTTTGCCAGTAGTTTTGACTTTGCATTGTACAAGTTTATGGCAGCGAATGTCGAAGCTCTGTGGAGAGAATCCGTCGTTTTCTCAGCGTTGAAAAAGCGAACCGCTACATACGACTTTCCTTGTCACACAATTCCAGCCGAGTCCCTTTCAATATTCTCGCTGTTTCAGCTAATTGGTGGCTATTTGTTGAACAATTTCGTAAGTAATGCTATGAAGGTGGCGAATGGTTCTATGGAAAATCCGAAGAAAATGCTACTATACTCTTCGGTGAGTGGCTGCTGTGCTTTCATACTTATATGACATGGTTTTGTAGATTGATCTTTGACCGGAAAAGCATTTCAGTGCATATAAAATTAGATGAAGTTGATGTATGAAAAAACCAAAGTCGAAAGGGTAGTTTCATGGCCTAAAATCTCCTAAACCTGCTAAAACTTTTCCGAATGAAGATGTAACTGAAAAGAATTAGTGCTTACGACAGGTTCCGATACATATTTCTGCTAAATAAGTGGCAGCGGTTAAGAAAAAACTGAGGATGTTGGAACCCGCCTCGCCGCTATGGGAACAAAGCGCATTGGTGTAGATCTTACACACAGGCTGCAGAGTGTGTGGACCTCGATGGCTTTGATGGTGGCTAGCGAATGGTGGGGACGCCATGACATCAGATCTGACCTCAATGTTCCATTTACACCGAAAGAACATAGGCTTCGGCGCTGGCTTGAAACAAGTCATAGGACTTTATGTTCGACTTCATGCTTGTTAGGTGTACATCCCTATAAACGCGATCGTAATGCAATGATGCAATCAGAAAAAGTGTTTTCAACACACATATCCCGCTCTCCAGGACGATAAACGCTAAAGAAAAAGAAGAAAGGAAGCATTAGGTAGAAAGAAACTTTGCGCATCATCATTTTCGTTCTTTAAAATTCCCACATTCCATTACTTAAGTCTATTTCTAGCACGACGGCACGTTACTCGGTCTTATGTACGCAATGGGAGTGGGAAACAATCTTATGATACCATACGCTTCAGCAGTCATCATGGAGATATTCAAGGAAGGCAACGAATACCAAGTTGAGGTAAGCTTTCGAAAACGTGACTGCGTGACGTGAACGTGACGTGACTTCGTTCTGCAATATAACTTACGGGAGGAGGAGGTCAAAATTGGCCAATGTGTTCGCTTTAGTTGCTCTTCCGGAACGATACCACAAGAGCACCGTATCCGTTGACGATTCCCAATTGTGGTTCTCCTTGTACTGTGGACAGCATGGCTAAGCAGTACCACAGCATGCTTCTCAGCAGTTATGCTGATCAACAGAAGGTTTGTGTCATCTATAGATGTGAAGAAGATTAAAAAATGTCCTATTGCAATTCATAAATCCTATGTTGTCCG